AACCCGCCACCTTAGGTGTATGTGGCTGGCGCCTTAGTCGCTTGAGCCACAGGCGCCGAGCCGATTGCAAAGATTTTTAAAAATAACCTTATCTAGCATTGAGGGAGCATGAAAAATCAGGCAGTCTCATCTAAAATTTGTGAACTGGCTTGGCATCTGTATCTCAGAGGTTAGGGCGCTGACCACATACACTGGGGCTGGCAGGTTTGAACCTGGCCTGGACCTGCTAAACAACAATGACAACTACAAAAAAAAAAAAATAGCCAGGTGTTGTGGCAGGTGCCTGTCGTCCCAGCTACTTGGGAGGCTGAGGCAAGAGAATTGCTTAAGCCCAAGAGTCTGGGGTTGCTGTAAGCTGTGATGCTATGGTACTCTTACGAAGGGTGACATAGTGAGACTCTGTCTCAAAAAATAATAATAAAATAAAATTTGTCAACTACACATTTTCATGACAACCTTTATGTAAAAGAGTTTAATAATAAATAGCTATTCAAAATTTGAACATGAAAATTCAATGGCCTCGGCACCTATAGCTCAAGCGGCTAAGGTGCCAGCCAGATACACCAGAGCTGGCAGGTTCAAATCCAGCCCGGGCCTGTCAAACAATGAAAATTACAACCAAAAAATAGCTGGGAGTTGTAGCAGGTGCCTGTAGTTCCAGCTACTTGGGAGGCTGAGGCAAGAGAATCCCTTAAGCCCAGGAGTTGGAGGTTGCTGTGAGCTGTGACGCCACAGGTCTCTACCCAGAGCGATAGCTTGAGGCTGTGTCTCAAAAAAAAAAAAAAAAAATTCTCTGATCCAGCAATTCCATTTCTAAAAATTTATTTTGTGATCCAGCAATTCAATTTCTAGGAATTTATCTTAAGAATGAATATACAGCTGGGCTTGGTGGCTCATGCCTGTAATCCTAGCACTCTGGGAGGCCCAGGTGGGTGGATTGCCTGACCTCAGGAGTTCAAGACCAACCTGAGCAAGAGAAAGACCCCATCTCTAAAAATGGGTGGGCGCTGTGTGGATATCTGTAGTTATAGCTACTCAGGAGGCTGAGGCCAGAAGTTCACTTGAGCCCAAGAGTTTGAGGTTGCTGTGAGGTATGACACTATGGAGGGTAATAAAGTGAAACTGTCAAAAAAAAAAAAAAAAGAAAGAAAGAAAGAATAAATACCCAGGCTCGTGTGGCTCAAGTGGCTAAGGCACCAGCCACATACACCTAAGGTGGCGGGTTCGAATTCAGCCTGGGCCTGCCAAAACAACAATGACGGTAGCAACAAAAAAAAAAAAAATAGCCGGGCGTTGTGGCAGGCGCCTGTGGTCCCACCTACTTGGGAGGCTGAGGCAGGAGACTCACTTGAGCCCAGGAATTGGAGGTTGCTGTGAGCTGTGATGCCAGGGTACTCTACCCAGGGGATAGCTTGAGGCTCTGTCTCAAAAAAAAGAAAAAAAAAAAAAAAGAATAAATACACAGAGAAGGATCTTCAGGTCATAATTGTAAGAGGGACTTTACCTAACAAATGCAGTCAGTGTGACCTGATTCTTTGTACCCTCTATGAATCCCCAGCAATAAAAAAAAAAGTATCTTCAGTGCATTATTTATAATACAAAAGAACTATAAACAAACTAAATGCCCATCAATAGTGTTTGTATATTAGTTTTCAAATTCAAAAAAATAAGGCTATTTTCATTGCGGAAGTTAAAGTACAGTACCACCACTAATAACCTATTCTTTCTGCTCTTCAAATACTTTCTGATTAAAATAGATGCAGGGTGGTAAAAATTAATTGGTCCAAGGACTGAAGACTCCAACTAAGAGATAAATGTGAAACTAAGAACACATCAGTCTATAAAACCAGAGCTGACTTCTTGGTTACCATGAGACAGTCTAGAAGTTGTACAGCTAGAAGCTTGGAGGTGGAGTTTCATGTCAGCATTAGAACACACAATACATCCTCAGCTATTGCAGGAAATGAAATTGTTAGAATGATGAAGAAAAGGAAGACTTTCCTTACAAAATAAGCAGTAAATCAATGGATCCCATCACCCCCAAAAGACAGTAAAGACTAAAAAGTACAAAAGGTCTAGACATAATTAAAATACACTGGTCTTGGCTCAATTAACAAAAATTAAGGATTTGGGAGAGATATAAACATATTGTTTCGTTAAAAAATACAAAAGTGGGCTCGGCGCCTATAGCTCAACCGGCTAAGGCGCCAGCCACGTACACCTAAGGTGGCG